AATCGTTCCTGGAGAATTCAGTTTTTCAGAAGAATTTGTTTCTTTTTAATTTTTTTGTTACTTGTGTACGTGTTTGTGGTTATAAAATTAAATACACTGCTAAAAATATTTATTTAATAATTTAATTAATACCGAAAATACGAATGTCGCTGAGTTTTTAATATTCCACTTGCGGTAAATTTGACCAAAATGTTTTAGATTTTTTTTTATGCATCATTTAAAGCCGTTAAATAGGAATTTTTATGAAATGAATTTTTATTATTTGAAAATAGTAACACTTCGTTTCTCGCTAAAAATATTTTAATCCACCTTTCTACGCAACTCGGTCACTACATCAAAATTATATTTAGCAGCAGGTAGGTATCGTAGATATAGAAATACAAAATTTGTGACCGAGCGATGTAAAAAAGTAGGTTTAAATAGTTTTTTAATAAGAAAAAATTGATATTCGTTTTTTGTACCCCCAAAAAGTATGTATATAAATTTTTTAGAAAATCTGATAACGTTGAAAGGACTTATTTCTTACTAGTCTTACTTTATCTACACTAAGTGGCCACCCACATTTTTATTAGTAAATACTGCAATCGTTATAATTTTTATTTTTTGCTGCATATTTTTAAAAATATATGATATAGCTAAATAAAAAAAATAATAATAAAAAATTAATCTGTGAAAAACAGTTTTACCAAAAATGTTGCTATGGAAACAATCATAAGGTATGGTTTTCCTCTTGCGTTAATCACTGCTTGCATTCGACGGGGCATCGATTATGAGGTTTTGAGTGTAGTACTGTGGAATATTTTAACCTCCTCCAACAGCGCCATTCTTAATTCATGCAAATTCCCTGGCATCACTGGGCGACATTTTACCCTATTTGAAAATTTGGCGCAAAGGTATTGCTAGTGTTTAAGTTAGGACTACATACTGTTCCCCAAGTAACCACCAATGATCCTAGCTGTGTGAGGTCTTGCATTGTCATTCACAAAATAAAAGTATTAAACGAAAAGAGTTTGACGTACATAGTTATATAGTGGGCAGTTGGGGGTTGCTTAACTCAATTCTATGTATGTACCTTCCCCTAACCCCTAAAACCATGGTTGTCAGCCTAAAAATAGTGGAATAGAAATCCTTTCGGCGAAAACACCGGATTTGCTTTCAGTTTTGTGTATAAAACTCGAAAGTTTTCTTTTAATGTTTATCTACTACTCCAATTTAATGAAAAATTGGAATCAATCGATCTTACAATTTTATTCATTTATACTTATCAGCGTGTGTATAAATATTTGTATTGAAATAATGCAACACTGCACATATAAACAAAATCGTGATGATAATTAGTCAGATATCTCAGGAGTTTTAAATCGTGAGTGGTACGGTTATGTTTCGCAGGGAAGGACTCGGTTACGGAACTGAGAGAATCGCTAAGAGAACCGAGATGGCATAAAATTAATTTTCACTTTAATGGGCCTGCATTAGATTTCACCCGGTGAGATGAAACGACTCTGTTAAAAAAATCAACGTTTTTGGCTTTCTCAATTAGAAGAAGACGCTGAGGTAAATGGAGAAATGTCTCGGCTGAATTAATTATTCTGTTTAAGCCTCTTCGGGCCCATTAGCCGGCTGGGAGATTGGTAGTTAATGTTACCAAAACATCGAATAGAAACTTACAAATATATCCATAAATTTAATAAAGGGTAGATCTCTATGACATAATGAAATAGTAATTTTAGCAAAATACTATCTAGATTGCAGAAAAAAATGGCTTTAGGATCATTTAAATTTTAAACATTCAAACACACGAATGAGTAAAAAGAATAATACAACCGAGATAAAAAAACTAAAAAAGAAAATACAAGCATTCACAAAATCGATATTATTAAACCAACCTATGCATACAACCAAATTCGAGAAGTGAGGTTGAGATGGGAGTGTCGGAGCGGATCGCTAGCTCAAGTGGTAGAGTAGCGGCGTATTTAGCTGAAGGTCGTGAGTTCGAATCCCGCTCGTGTCGCTGACTTTTTTATCTCAACCAAAACCTTTCATTAATATTAATTAATTTATAAATAATAAGATAAAAATAATTATTAATTTTTCAGGTTTTCATATTATTGAGTTTACGTGTCTAGATCAATAAACCTAAACTGTCTGATATAAATCCGCATGTCCAGTCTTTTTAGTCCAGCATAAAAAAAAAAACCTAGCACACAGTTGAATGGATTGACTTTTCTATTCTTTCAATGGATCACGTTGCTTCATGGTTCTAAATGTCCTGATATATGATCCGTTTTATATTGTTATTCTTGATTTGCCGTTGGAATAAATTTCTTTTTTCAGTTCGTACATTTTTCACGAATGTCGCTGAGTTTTTAATATTCCAAAGATAGAAATATTAGGTATATAAATTGATGTATTGGATCTTCTTGAGGTCATTTTACAGGTGAATAAAAAACATCACTATTGGGTTTCACCAAGCTTTCGGCGAATGTTCCGCCATCTTCAGGGCCTAATTTATTGAAAACAAATTTACATTAACAGGATTACATAAAACATCATATACTCATACATTATAAGAATAAAATTACGTACTTCACCCAGTTTTTTAAGACAATTAAATTTATTGCACATGTTTGTTGTTATTTTAAACTGAAGGTGGAAATGAATCTACATACTGAAAATAAAAAATAAAAATAAAATAGTCTTGTTTAAAATCTAGTGACACTCATCGGTCCATCCTTTGGTCTCACCTCTTTATAAGTTAAAACTCAATCTCAGGTACATGTATTTCTTTATCACAGATACGTTATATGTATATACAACTTTTAAACTGTTTTTTAACTTAGAATTATAATTTAATTATTTACAATATGTACAAGGAACGTTAAGAAAATTGAGACACATCGGACGGTTACAACACGATAAGGGACCCATCCCTGTTATCAATCACGGTGTGATTAGTCACACCAACGTCACTTTGCGCTTTATTACGATTCCATGAACTGTTGTAGGATTCCCGAATATGCCATGACAGAGCCCAGTCGATCCATTTGCAAATTACAAGTGTTTTTCGTAACATGAATATAGACTTTTTCGAAAAGCAGTCGTCTCTCCAAGTCCAACTCCCTGCCCAGGATTTTTATTCACCTGTAAAATGACCTCAAGAAGATCCAATACATCAATTTAAAACTACGGAGGTCGATCACTGTCAACCAGTATTAGGTATATCGAAGCGTTTTTTAAAATGAAAGACAAAATTATAGTTTTTTTAGTTTTTTTTTTTTAGGATGAACATTGTTTTCTTTTTAATCGATTGTTTAAAATGGTCAACCTAAAGTACCCAAATCTCACCAAACCCTTTGCATTATCTTTCCGTCCCGTACTTACAAGTTGTTAATTAAGGTTCATTTGGCTGCCTCTGCGGTCATTGGCAAACTATGTTGTTACACCGAATCTAATTTCAATCCGCAACCTCTAATTCTCTAAGAATTGGTTCGTTTATTTGAAAACAAGTGGGAAGTTTAACTTTGTTCAATTGTTCATCTCTTGATTAGTAGAATATGTATCGTTTTAAGGCAATGTTTACATTACAATTCCAAGAAATTTGCCTTTTTCTCTATGTATGCAGTTGTTAGAGCGAGAGAAAACAAGATTTTTACAGTAATTTGTTATATATTTTTTTGTTTTAATCTCTTTTCTTTGTTCGGCTTCATGCATTGAGCCCCTGTTGGTACATGGGGAAAAGAGGGGATTATTAACTTTTCAATATATTTTATTAAAGTAAAATGACAGGAGATATATTTTTGGCAAACTAAAAATTTTGAACCCCTTAATGAATTGCCTTTTGAATTTCCTTTTCAAAGGGGCAATTTAGATAATTATGAAATCTCATCAAAAGCCTCAAACGACGTCGAACTTTTGCGGCCTTTTTCCATCCTTCTACATTGTTTTAATGATGGATTGTATAATGACACTCCGATGGCGTAAAAAACGAACGAAAACAAAAAAATCAATATTTAGCAAAAAAAGTCCAACATATTACTGATTTTGGCAATTAAAAGAAAGGGAATACTGACTTATTCTAATTAAAGATTTCAAAACCAAGGCCTAATGGATGTTTTGTTTTATTAAAAAATAAACAAGTTGTAATACTTCAATAAAGAGACAATTTTAAAATAACAATATAATACAAATTTGTGACGTACCGAAGATTTAAAAATTTTTCTCGTCACTCAAGCGTTTTCAAAAATATAGCACGATGGACTGCTATTATTTTAACCTTAAATCTCTGGTATCCCCTAAAATATTATACTAGGACCTATATTCTTCTCCATTTACACCCATGATATATCTGCATCCCCAGACAGATACAGCTAACCTTTTCCCATTCTGATCTTTCCATCTCTCACAGAAACCTTTATACCAACTTTTCCTTGCTCGAGGAATGAAAAAAAGTGAAAAATAAAGATGAAAGGGACTACTTCGATAATCACAGTACTGTATGTTGCCTCTGTACTATTGCTGGAAATGTCAGTGAAACCCACCAGGCTAAAATACGTGAAATAAAAAGATTGACGATTCTTCTCGGCAGACTATTTGACCAATGAAATAAACTGTCATTAACTAACAAACAATTCATGTACAATACTCCAATAAAGCCAATACGGACGTATGGAGTCAACTTTGGTGTTTGACTAAATGCCACAATATCCGTGGAATCCAGATCCGATAATCCAAGATCCTCCGAGAAACAGTCGATGCTCATTTCTACATACCCAATCTCACTATCTACACCGACCTCAACATTCCTTTCGTCCATGACCTGGCCAGAACCAGATACCATGGATTCCAGCCACCCCCTCCCCCATACTAATCCCCTTGTAACGCACTTTGCATCCTCCACTCTTTCAAATAACGTTGCTAGACGTTTGCTTGTACAAATATGTTTTAAGTTGACAAAATGTTCAAAAAAGATTTATTTATAAATATGTTAAATTTTTTTAAAGGTAGTCAATGATTGTGGGGGAACTCCTCAACCCGGTAAAAGAAACAAGAGCCCCATCACCGCCGGAAGCCTGCCTGGAGACGAATTCAGAGTTCGAAGGTATACTAACATTAAATTTAAATTTTAGCGTTACTAAATTTATTGTTAGGCTGTTATCCTGGTTAAGCGGCATGTTTATTGATTGAAGTGAACCGAGTGACGGAATAACAGTCACGTTGAACATAGATTCCTGTCGCATCGATCATCGAGCAACTAGATTGATGAGGATGTATAATCGATTGACGTTTTAATAAAAATGAAATAATTTATTGAATCTAAGTTTAGGAAACGCAAAACAATAATTTTACTTTAGAAGTAATCTAACTAGAACACAAACTTGAAAAACATCAACCGCTAGAAAATAATCTCTCATTGTTCTTCATGATATATGAAAATATAGCTCAGACACTCCTAAGATGTACCTAACATTTAGGTTTATGTGGTGATTAATTTATTCACCTTTTTGTATTGATTTCCGATGTATTGAGAAGATTTATGTACGTCCATGAAGTTAAGTTTTAAATAATTTCTGAAGCGTATGTCCTTTTAGTAAAATTTGTTAAAGTCAGGTTATGTGCAGTCTGGCTTGTATGTAAAATACTAAAATAATTGAACCTAGAAACGTCAAAAACTCATAGAAAATTGCGAAATGCTAAAACAAATTTAACAAAGACTAAACGTGGCTGATCAAGAAGGTCGCAACGCAAAGTCGTGGGGGGTCAAGAATGAGGTAGTTTAGAAAAACACCTTTTTTATTTGTGTGGTGATTAGTGACCGTTAATCGATAATTATTCAGAAATCGTGAGATGCGGTCTGGTGTGATGTATTGTAGGTTTCAGAAAAACATGTTCTTTATCGTACCAACGTTTCGATCTTTATTGAGATCATCTTCAGGGCCTGGGATTTACAAACACGTTTACTAAACGTTGGCACGATAAAGAAAATGTTCTTCTGAAACCTACATCACACCAGACCGCATCTCACGATTTCTGAATAATTACCTTTTTTATGTTTTTGCTGACGTTTCGACCTTTATTCTGGACATCTTCAGCGTATAAAGTGTGGTGACATTTTGATTCACAAAACAGGACAGAAATGGCCTACCAAATATGATCGGAGACTGTCAGCTTACATGTGATTAATATACTGTAGATGTAATACCACACTGATGGATGTAGACACGACGAAAACGCACTGACCAAACACTGAAGTGGACAAAATATCGCACCACTTCTAACTATCGCATTCTACGAAAACAAGAAAATAAGATGGCCTGGGATCATCAAGTAACAATTATGTCAAATAATAAAAGACGGAAATTTGGAAAATAAAAACATAGGAACAACAACAGCATAGATAAAACAATAAAGATGGTTAAAGGACGAAACTCATCACGTTGACAAAACTAGAAACAAATGATAGACCGAAGATGTTTGGGCATCATCAAGTTCTATTTCTGTAAAATTCGGCACATAATGATGCTAAAAGTAAGAACATAGGTACGAGAAAGACACAACAACAGAACAGGAATAGGACAGACTATCAAAATGCCGACAAGCTTCTGTCTGGAAAACTGGAAAACCAGGCTAAGATGTAACATATACAGGGTATTCTTTTTAGATTCGGCTGAATTTTTCTTGAACCAATGACGCTATAAAAAAACTCAAATATGCGTTTTAATATTTTTTCAGTCTGGTTTCAAATGTTTACTTTTTTTTGGAGAAAAAATATACAGGGTACCTCAGGCCCAGTTCAATTTCAAAATTTCAAATACGACCCTATACATCCTGATATATCATGTTTTAAAGGATTTTTTACTCTGAAAACAATGGTGCAATCGATTTTAAAATGGTCGAAAAATGACAAGTCTTTTGGTTTGCTATTTATTCCAGGAAGATTTTCATTGACTCAATATGAAGTTGTCGTAAAAAGTGCGAAAATTAACATGTTCAATTTGCTAATGAATTACTGAAGCTAGGAAAACATTTGAAAAAAAACATCAAGTGCAGGCCTGTGGCTTAAAAGGCTGAGAAAATATGAATTTCCAAAGTTGGCCATTTTTTCGTGCAAAATCAGGTGGTCGATTTGTTTTTGATAGGAAGTGTATAAACATCATCACTGTACACCAATCACAAAATTCAACAGTACAATATATTTTTCTAATTTAAGTATGTATTACTTAAATAAAATAAGAAGAATTAAAAGTGTTTTGATTAAATATTGATATTTTAAAAACTCATTCGCTGTGTGTATTAATCATATTTTTAAATCTTTGGACTTCAAGTTCAGAGTTTCTGTTGTTTTTTGAAATTAATTTTACTTAAATTTAATGAGGTCGAAAATATCAAAATTTATGTAAAATGTTGTGTTTTCGCCTGCAGTGCAGGGTAAGAACATGATGCTAAACTGTTCATAACTCCTGACGGTTTATCATTGCTGATGAACGAGCCTTTTTTTATATAACAAAAGGATGAGACTGCTATCGATATGTCTCTTAGGCTTTCAAATAATCCAATTATTGCTGTAAAAAAGAATCAGAAAAATCCTCTCATTAGTCTAATTAAAATTAATCCTCAAATGGATTTGGTAAAATCTCCGTTACGACATTAATAATTAACGCCGAAGACGAGCATCTGATAAAATCATTTGTAAAATGAATATCCCCTTGTATTATAAATGAATTCCCAAACAGTTACAGACTCGGGCAGTATTAATACTTAAATCCATTAATTAAGTATTTTGGACGAAGAAGTTTGCTTAATGTTACATGCCGACGATATCATCAAACAATACTCGACCTGTTTTTAAACATTACTATTTACAATAACAATAGAAACTTGTTTAAATCATGGATGAAAAAAAATGAAGGTAAAAGCCTCGTTTTTATTTCTTACCTCTGATGTGAGGCCGTAACTTAGCTTCGTTACATTGTAGTCACAGTGAAAATTTATAGCTGAAGATAAAATCATCCTGTGCGTTTTAGGTAGATTCACGCCGCAGACATGTTTTCCACCGTTATAACACATATTCTGGGGTTTAGTACTTCTAAATTTATCTGACTTTTTAAAATTTTATATTATGCCGTTTAATATTTAAGAACAAAATGTAACCTTTAATATCAGTTTTAATTCTGACATAGGCTCCTCCATTTATGAGATTTTTATTTATGTAATGATTAATTCATTCCTCTTCTTGTGTTAAAGTAAAGTTATATTCAATCTGTCACGATAAAGCTGCAAGTATATATAAAAAGCACTTAGCATAAGAAGAAAAAAAAACAACTTAGAAATGAGAAAAACTCACAGAACTAATGAAAAGTAAATAGTGAAAAACATTTGCAAAAACCAGAAAAATGGCAAACCAGGATGATTGGAGACAATGAAACTACAAGGCTGTAAAATTCTGAAAGTTGTAAGTCATGGCCATAAGGACTTATCTACATTAAAATCCACAGACTTACTACTAAAGGTGTCGAAATGTTAAAGGATTCTGATTGTCAAAACCTGAAAAACAAGCTTACTACAATGGTCTGTGAAGATCAAGCTACAAGAATAAAATAATGTAAATACTGAACGGAGAACACAGAACATGAGGTCATAGGTCAGGTAAAAATAGACGGAGCAGCTATTGAACGTGGTGAAATGCCAAATAGCGTTTGACTAACAATAACAGAAACAAGTCACAGACCAAAAATATTTGGGGATGATAAGGCTAAGTGAATGAAGAATACGAAAGATAAGGCCATTGAGACGAGAACAACGCACAGACCAACCACTGAATATGATGAATTATCTCACTGCGTATAAGAGAAATAATAAAAATACACTTTTTTTTCTTTTTTAACGAGGGTATTTTAACAACGAGGGTGACTCGGACCCTCGTTATTACCTATCTTTACCTTACAGGGATGAGCGCTGTGTCGACGCCTAAGCCGCTGCTCTCACCACCGCCCCAATACACAAGGTTAATATACGATTATGATCCTCCAAATATAAAAAATAATGAAAGGTATGCAAATTTAAGGATATACCTACTAGATAAACGATCGGACAACCACTGAGGATACTGAAAAGCCAAATAACCTTTCACTGACAAAACCGTAAACTAGTAACACACCAAAAATATTTGAGTATGGTACATTGACACGAAAACAACGCATAGACCAACCACTGAAAATAATTAATTCACTACTTTCTTGGTCTGCTTGACCAATTAATACATGACAATTAATTAAGGTTTTTAGTTGAGATGAAAAAAAGTTAATGCCACGAGAGGGATTCGAACCCACGACCTTCGGCTAGATACGCCGCTGCTCAACCACTTGAGCTATCGTGACCTCGATCCACTCGGACATCAACTCCCCATCTCAACCCCACCTTATGAGTTTTCCCTCCTTTTGCCATTTTTCAAATGTCGTGTAATCGGTTTGGATTCTCGACGACAATTGAAATGGCGACGGAGAGCTTTAGTGAAGTGTACTTCATTTTTAAATCATTAATTAATCGGGGAGTTGATGTCCGAGTGGATCGAGGCCACGATAGCTCAGGTCGTAGAGCAGCGGCGTATCAAGCCGAAGGTCGTGGGTTCGAATCCCTCTCGTGCCATTAACCTTTTTTCATCTCAACTAAAAACCTTAATTAATTGTCATTGAAAATAATGAAATGCTTCAATGAGTTCGAGTAAAACAAGAAAAACAGACATACCAGAGTGATATGGGATGATCATTTTCAAGCATAAAAAGTGATATGCATAGGAATGCAAAATGAAAAACGCTCAATCCAATCACTGAAGATGATGAACTGCCTTAACCCGTTTGTGTGAATATACTGAACATAAGAATACGGTATACCGTACCAAAGGTTTTAACCGACGGAGGACCACCCGAACGTAATCGGGAGGCGTAGAAAAAATATAAAATAAAATAAGTTTTTAAAATAAAAATGATTGAAATATAAAATAAAGAAATGAAATAATAAAGACTCACCAAGCTGTTGTTGTGGCGAATGATAAAAGGTGGGCAGGAAATAGAAGGATCCAGGAGCGATGAAAAATAGGGTATTTGGGGAGGACGGCCCACTTACAAGTACCAGCAACTCCGGCGTTTTGGCGAGGTGTAAAATCAATCCAGAAGAATTCCAAGGGATGCTAGAAGAGATTTTACAGAAAGCGGTCTGTAGCAAAGCGTTTGCGGGTTTAACGCGAAAAATAGAAGAATGGAAAGCGGTGCGTGCTGAGACGAACAAGGCTCGGTCATAATAGCAACGAGCATTTTCCAACGATTAAAGATGACGAAATACCGAACGTACAGACTGATAAAACTAAATGATTATGATCAGAAACCACAAAATTATGTAATTAATATTCTAAATATAATAATGCAAAGGACGTATGCAGAAAATACAGCACAGACGAACAAATGAAGATAGCAACGCAATACTTCTGAGTTAATTAAAATTGTATGTTTGTGCTTTACTAGAACATGTAAAAGAACATAATAAATGTTTATTTTAGAAGTTTATAAGGTTCAAATAATTTTACAAAAGTGTTTCGAATTGAAAATTAAATAAATAATATTATTATATTGCAAAATGTTTCAATAAAACGGAGGAATACGTTGCAATATGGAGGCCTCCAACGAATTACCATGTTATTGTTTTTTTTTGCTCTTCATAGTCAGCTGAACGGATTCTTATTATCATAGTACATTTTTATTCAATGGAAATTTTTAGTTTTCGTCCTAGATCGCGACGAAAACACATTTTTCTATTGACAAATGGTGTTGTTTCTTTGAATCACACATCGGTTCGAAATATCCATTTTTGCTCAGATCGTAAATCGTAGAAAAGTTTCAACGAAAAATTAACCCCCGGTCGTGTTTCACTGCTCGGCGAATAACAAACACCATTCAAACGTGCATAATGTTTATCTCTTGGTTGGAATCTGGGCAGTTTGAAAGGGAATTGTTTGGCAAAGGTCGAGGCGAGCCGACTTGTCCCAAAATCCGCCGAGGGAACTATTAACAAACTTTGCTTATACCGATGATATAATTCAAGAGATAGGACTGTCATCATCCTAATTTGAATAGATTATGAACAGATTAATTTTAGAAAGATGTAAATATTAACTTGAACATTTTTTTCATGTTATAAAATCAATTGGAGCCAGGGTGTGAACGAATGAAGTCGTAAATAAGTAGGTGAATTGAAAGCTCCGATGCCAGTTGGGAGAAAGATATACGAAAAGATTGGTATGGCTTGGGGGAGTCTTTTGTTTTTACGATTTAGGCCCGCTAGTAAAAATAGGGTGGGGCAATACCCATAATTTGAAGCAAGGTCGAGCGTTACCCTGACAGGTTCTTACCCTGAGATATCAACCCCATTCCCTTTTGAAAACAAACCTTTCTTCTCACCGTATCAGCCCCTCCGACAAAGATGCTAACTTTCTATTAAGAATGGAAGGGTTTTTGAATCGGAAGTTTTTATAAGTATCCAGTAGTTCGTACGTGTGTTTTTCACTTGTGTATGTCCATTAGAATCGTCTTTCTATCTATGTTGTCTTGATCGTTTCTAGTCTTCTTACGCTTGCTGGTTCTGCCGGCCAGATAGCTTCGTTTATTTCGCAGTATTCAGTAGTTGGTACGTGCATTTTTAACAAAGTTATGTCCTTTGCCGAATTTTTATGGACAATGTTTGAATAACTTGTAGCGCGTTCGTTATCTATCATCCTGGTTTGCCATTTTTTTTTCTGCCAGTCGAGTTTCAGCATTTTTGTCCTTTGTCCGTGCGTTTTTATGGTAAGCATTTCTTTATTTTCCAAATTTCTGAGGTCTGAAATTTTAACAACTTGTAGATTGATTGATCCTGATCTTCTTGGTGTGCCCATTTTTTGACGGTTTTTACCAGTCAAACGCTATTCGGCATTTCACCAACTTAAGTGGCTGGTCCCTTTGTTTTTACCATAGGTCCTCATATTCTGTGTTCCTCCGTTCAGTATTGTACTTGTAGGTTGATTGCCCCTGACCATTTCGGTCTACTATTTCTTTCTGCTTTTCCCTAGCAGAAGGGTTTCAGAATTTCGCCAATGTTACAATTTGATCTATGCGTTTTTCTCGTCAGTATGCTTTTATATTTTGCATTGTTGTTCTCTGTGGTGTAATGCTTATTATTTTTCATGCTAGGAGTGTGATCATCTGTTATCATCCTGGGGTGCCTAATTTTTTTCTTTCATTCAGGCGCGTTTTGGCAGTTTGCACGTTCGAATTTATTGGTCTGTGCATTGTGTATCAATGTCCTTATGTGCTGTACGATATACACTCTGCCCATTCACCCCCAAACAGCAGGATCGAATTCCAAAGGTCAATATTTTAACGACTTGATCGTCCTTGATCATCTGACACTTGTCATATATATTTACACAAAGTCTGACACTTGTTTCTGGTTTTATGAACCTGAAGAGTTTTGGCATTTCGTCACATTTATTGATTTGATTTTGCTTTTCTCCTATAAGTGACATACAACTTCATGGTCCATGATCATGTTGGTTATGTTGTTTGAAAGATTTAAAAGTCAGAAGCGTTGCGAGATTTGATATCTTCATTGTTTTTCTGTGCGTTTTTCTCGTGGTATATCCTTATATTTTGCATTCAGTTCATGTTCAGTATCTTAATTCCTCGATAATCTTATTTGTGCTTCTACGTTCTGTTTTGTCACTCTTGCACGTTTTGGCATTTCAATATTGTCGGCAACTGGTCTGTGCGCTTTTCTCGTGTGTATGTCCTTATATTATCGATTAGGCGAGTTTCAGCATTCTTCTTTTTGGACCAAACAGTGGTTAGTCTGTGCGTTGTTGTCGCTACGTCCCATGCCATTTTGTTCAGTATTTCATACTCTAGGAGCTTGATCGGCACTGATTAATACAGTTGATTCTGATCGTAGTTTTGTTAGTCAAACATGTCTGCGATTGGGAGATTCTGCGCAAAAGTCCTTATTAAACAGTTTGTTCAAGTCAAGGTTTAAACTAATAAAATAAAAATTCAGTGCTTACTATTAAATTTCTTCTCCTTGAAATACTAAAGTTTAATCATGAAACTAAGTTAATAACAAAAGAACTCTTTAAATATTTAGAAAGGGTGCAAATTATATTTAAATAATGATTTATTGCTGTTCTTTACTCTTAGCATAAATTTAATGATTGTTTTTGAGATTTTATAAGACATGTTATCTCACGTTTTTCAATAATGTTAAACAAATATTGTACCGGCCTTTTTTTGGAGAGATGCAATTGCGGAAACTGGTTTGTGATCAGAGGTGGATAAGAAATCAGGGGTTTAAGTTGCCTGATCCTTTATATGGGAGGAAACATGTCTGACAGCTTCCTGTCGAGATAATAACAGCAATGCGGGGTGGCGCGATTGATTGGAATTCCGATTGAAGGAAATTCCTTTTTCAACCATGCGGCTACAAATGACAGAAGACAATTTATCATCGGATTGCTTGGTGGTCTTTCCAACATAAGTTTGTTTCAAGTTTATGAATTTAATTATTAATAATGACCAATTTATAATGGAAATTTTTTTAATTACAAAATACAAAAATTATTAATAAATTTGTTTTTTTTCTTTAGTAACTCAATTTTAGAAGAAGACGAATGCGATTCAGGATCGGATGGAAGTGTGTGCAAGGAGAACAAAGAGACAAAAGAAACAAAATTAGAAGTAAAGTAGTACTTTTAAGTGGAAAATAATTTGAGCGATAGAAAAAAATCTACTTAAAATTTTTTATAGAAAAATAGTTTTATAGATAATGTTTTGTTTGTGATATTAAATACACTGATATTAAACAATGTTTAATTTATCTTTTTTATGTATTCGTCAAAACAATGATTGTTCATTGCATGCATTACCTCGGCGATAAAATAACCGTTATCTCTGATGTAGCTTTTTCCTTAAATTTTTTAATAAGAAAATGTTAATTTTAAATTGAAAAGGTGTAATGTGATGTAAAAAAAAGTCAGTTTGAAGTGAAAAGGGGCTAATTTTAAATTAAATTAGGTTAATTTGAAGTTGAAAAGGGTTTATTTGACGGAAAAAGCAATATAATAAATGATCAGCCATTAATTGTAATTATATATAAAATAAGATAAGGCTAAGGAGATTTTTTATAGAATGCATTGTCCATGTTCGATGTGGTGAACATGTAGCCATCGGTTTGTGAATGAAAATTGTGAATCCGTGTTTACATTTGTTCACATTTTAAATTATTAATTTAAAATTCAAAGTCCTGATGTAGGGGATACATTCATTCAACGCTTGGTGAAGGAACGGAATATTTTGCCTTTATTGGCTTTATCTCAATCATTAAAAAAAGAGTTCTCTACATTATAATAATATGTATTACATATAATATATATAATATATTTTATATATATTATATATAATATTGTAATATAATATATGTATATCTTTATCAATCCTGCTAAAAGACAATCCATCAATAACCTTTTTTTGAAGAAAACTTTCTACAAAAGTTTTAAGATTTGACAGAGACAGAGACTATGTTACACAAAACTTTTTAGTGTCAAGAAATATTCCAGGGACACGTCTGGACTTACCTCAGAAGTTTCAAAAGGAGCCAGCGTAGGGAAAGATTAGTTTTGAACCGGGCAAACATTTCTGAAACTGTTTTCTAAGATGAAATGGCAACGTCCAACCTTTGCAATACTGCGGAGTTAAATTTTCCATTTTATTTAGTTAAAATAATTTACATGTTGGGTGGTCAAGGATTGAAATATAGTACCTTCTGTCAACACCACAAAGCAATAAACAATTTATTCTATAATTGCTATAGTTACAATACAATAAATAAAACAATTAATAAAATGGCAATTATGAATATAATTTCGATAAGAGATACAATAATATAAAATTGTGAAATGAATACAGGTTTTCAGGAGAAGGAGCTTTTTAAATTTTTTTTTGCAAGAGTTAATTCGAGACTCATTAAAGGCCGATCAGAAAATCGGGAGTTTTTTTGGCTTATGAATTATTTTAAGTATGAAGTACTTCCATTGCCATGAAAAACATGTGCTACTGAGTACAATGTTGTGTATGTATGGTAAGTAAAGTAAATCTCTGTTGGGCAAGTTTTGAAATATTTGTGTTTTAATTTATCGAGTAAACGCTTTAAGAGAAGGAGAAAGTTTCAATTATTTTGAATACAAAAAACAACAGGTTTTAATTTTTTTCGAGAGTTCGCAACAGCACAGGTCATATAAACCGTCAGGGTGCCGGTGTTTTTGAAAAAAAGCCTATTTGTACGTCGGGTTCGAATACAGGGCCGAATACGTCGCGTTGGCGGAGATTATCAGCGGGTTCACTTTGGCAATTCATGTCGAGAGACGTAGAAGTCCTTCAACCTGATGATGAGCTAAAAGGCTCGAAATCCGTTGGAAAGATCGTTGCAAAACAACTTACTGTGGGTAGGAACTATCTTTTTAAAAAGGATTGAATACCACACTCACTCCATCATTTATAATTTCTATTTAAATCTACTGTTTAATGGATCATGAATGGTTTTATTTCGACTGTTTTCGTATGTTCGGATTTTAAGACAAATTAAAAGACAAAGGTTCTTAGAGGGTGGTACAATAACAATGAAACGGAGTTGCTGCTCGGCTTTCCGCACGAGTTGCAAGTCATTCGGGTTTAGTATTACTCCGCGCCGTAAACTTCAACTTATGACCTATGCGACTTTCTCTTTGGAATTGAGATTTTAATTAGATCGAATAGATGATGTATTAAATGAATTAAATGTACAATAAAATGAATAAATAAAGAGAGAGAGAGAAAGAAAGAAAGAAAGAAAGAAAGAAAGAGAGAGTGAGAGAGAGAGAGAGAGAGAGAGAGAGAAAGAGAGAGAGAGAGACCCTGTTAACTACATTACTGTTGCGAAACGAATTAATTTAAAATTTCTTTTGTTTATATCGATTTAATACGAGCGTTTGTCAAAAAGGTTATAAAGATTTTTAAGTGGGAGCAGAATATATTTTGTATATATAAAAACAATCTGAACCGTATACGTTTTTATAAATAAATGACCTCAATGTCTATTTGTTAAGAGATTTCTACCTGTGGTCTTCGAGGTAATGAACACATGTGTGGTGATTAGTGACCGTTAATCGATAATTATTCAGAAATCGTGAGATGCGGTCCAGACCGCATCTCACGATTTCTGAATAAGTAATGAACGCACTTTCGTTGTCATACAGACACAGTGAAGATGGCGAAACTATCAAATTATGAAGTTTTTTATTGATTGCGCAAAATTTTGTTTTTAGGATCAGTCTTCTATCGCACTTATAAATAAGAAAGAAAGAGAAATGAGAGTGAAGAGAGAGAGTGAGCGAGAGAATGAGGGAGAGGGAGTGAGAGAGGAAGAGGGATTGAGAGGGAGAGAGCGAGAGCGAGAGAGAGAGAGTGAGGGAGAGATTTGGATTTATATTGCGATTGAGAGGGATAGAGTGGGGAGAGAGAGAGAGTGAGAGAGCGAGAGTGTGAGAGAGATTTGAATTTATATAGGCTCAAATCGTACGCAAACAAACATGTGGCGAGTTGGGCCTATTCGCTTCTCGTAGCCCCCGGCAATTCCAGCTTTTGGTATTTACAGTAAATCGAGTAAATCGCCGGCAGACTGGAGTCATCCATCCTGTTGTTGGCAGTCCGGGGGCAGGCCTGAGACTAATCCGTCCGTCCATCGAGGTTGAGTCCGGGAGGTGCCGGAAAGTCTTCTGGAAGGAGAAAAGGGATAAAAACAAAAAATTTAATGTCCCTACCGATTATCTGTTTGCATCTTACGTCTACTTGCAATGTTTTGTTTCATACAATGGTTTTAATATTAGTTTGATTAAAATAATTAGTAAATTTTCAAATTTATAGATATAAATGTTTAAATGTTTAAAATTGATTAGTTGACATAAAAACAATTATTAAAATTGCTATTATGTTAATTATACTACAGTTTTTAAATTAATATTTATATTGTCTGCCTTAACGGCGCTAAAGGCCAACATTTTGTCAACGCTCGGAAGTCGTGCGGGTTTAGCCTAGTGTACAAATTTGTACAACAGGGGCTATTGTTAAAAACAAACCATAATGTCTATAAATAATTATAATTAATTGAACCATTCGTAGTACTTTTTTCATTGAGACATTTATTTTATGTAGTCATTGAGTCTTAATAAACCTATGAGGTTTGAATGGAAATCGTCTAAGAAATACATGTATATTTGATGTTATTTTCTGCTCACTATTATGTCTAGTCTAGCCACAGTTATATTTTATAAGCGTAGCAGTTAGAATGGCATTATATTTAACAGAGCGAGATAGAGAAGAGATAGATAGGTAGATAGAAAGATAGATAGAAAAAAAGAGAGAGAGAGGGAGATGATGATGTATGCTTTATTTATCAATCCCACAAGATTTAATCTTAAGGGCCAGTCTGACATCTAATGTGAAATACAATGGTTACTAAGTTTCTAAGGAAAAAAAACAACGAGATAGATAAATTAACAAAGTCAAGAGGGAAGAAAGTGAGAGTGATAAAACGATTGAGATAGATAGATAGAGAAAAAAACGATAAAGAGAAAGATGTTAACCCTGACAGAGCGAGAAAGAGCAGATAGGGTCGAGAGAGTGAATAAGAGAGAGATCGAGGGGAAGATAGATAAAGATAGATAGATAGATCAACAGTTAGAGATAGAGATAGATAGAGAGATAAAAAGTGATAAAATAGAGTGATATGACAGAGAGGGAGAGTAAAGAAAGAAAGGGAGAGGGAGTGAGATGGAAAGAGTCTGTCAACTGAGGAAGTATTGAAAGGGATGAACGTACAAAAAAATAAACAGGAGACATCAAGTTGGTTGATGATCCATGACATAGATGGACATAGATAGGTATTTACAGAATAAATCGATAATCAATCTTCAGTATGTCTCAGAAAAAAATGATCGGTAGTGACCAGGAAACAGGTTCATCACCCAGCAGGAGAAAATTTCAAAAAATACATATGTTCTTGAAAACAACTAAATAAGAAACAAATATAATAGTCTTATATAGATAATTACAGAAGAAATCTATTATCATTACAATCAATCAATTATACATTTTTTAATATGAGAAATTGGCAAAAAGCTCGTACGTTAAAAGTAAAAAATAGGAAGAGCGAGAGAAATAGAAAGAGAAAGGGGGATAGAGATTGATATATAGATCTATAGATAGGTATCTATAAATAGATAGATGGAAAAATTGATATTTACACAGATAGAGATAGTGTGAGCTAGAAAAGAGAAAATGAGAGAAATAGAAAAATTTCAATAAATCTTTTATAAAAAAAATGCATTTAACAGATGATTATTACTACCGAACATAAAACACCAAAAGTTTATATTGTTAATTAATCTAATATTAAAATAAATTAAACGTTTTCTCTTTTCAACCCTCTTTGCTTTGACAAATAGCTTTTCTATTTTTCATCTTTTAATAATGTTTAACTCAAAAAGAAGACATCACAAAAGTTATTATTTCATCTGATTAGCCGTACAATGACAAAATTAATGTAATCCCCGCGGCGGCCTCTACTTGCTTTGTCAAATAATGCATTTCACTCTGCTCAACAAAAGGTTGGGCGTGAGTGAATTCTCTGTAAGTATTAGCGTAAGTCCTTCTCGGGGCAGTTAGTCCCGACGTTTCATAAATCACCTTTCAACTCAGTCACAACGCTCAGTTCTTTCACTGACGCCTTCTTTTCCGACTTTATTATTTTACCCT